GGGAAGAGTGAGTCAGTCTGTTCGTGCTTTCTGCAACAAACCAAGAGAATTTGGAGAGATGCAGTAAGAATAAACTCCCTTAGCCTGTCTTCATAGGAGAGGTGCTCCAGCCCTCTGAGCACCTTTGTCACCCTTGCTGCAACAGGTCCATGTCCTTCTTGTCTTGGGGAGCCCCAGGACTGGATGAAGTACCGCAGGTGGGGTCTCACCAGAGTGGAGTAGCGTGCTTTCTGCAACAAACCAAGAGAATTTGGAGAGATGCAGTAAGAATAAACTCCCTTAGCCTGTCTTCATAGGAGAGGTGCTCCAGCCCTCTGAGCACCTTTGTCACCCTTGCTGCAACAGGTCCATGTCCTTCTTGTCTTGGGGAGCCCCAGGACTGGATGAAGTACCGCAGGTGGGGTCTCACCAGAGTGGAGTAGAGGGACAGAATCCCCTCCCTTCAACCTGCTGTTCATGCTGATTTTGATGCAGCTCAGGACACAGTTGGCTCTTTGGGTTGCAAGCATACATTGCTGGCTCATGTTGAACTTCTCATCCACAAACACCCCCAAGTCCTACTCCTCAGGGCTGCTCTCAATACATTCACTGCCCAACGTGTGTTTATGCTTGGGATTGCCCCAACCCACGTGCAGGACCCACCTCTCAAGCCTGTCTAAGTCCCTCTGGATGGCATCTCTTCCCTCCAGCATGTCAGCTGCACCACTCAGATCAGTGCTGAGGGTGCACTTGATCCACTGTCCATCATGCTAAAAAGTGCCAGTCCCAATACTGACCCCTGAGGAATGGCACTTGTCACTGGTCCTCCACTTGTAAATTGATCACAACTAAGTGGGACCATCCAGCCAGTTTTATCCACCAGAAAGGTAGTGTTCCCTAGCTTAAACCAGCACTGTAAATTTATTTTGAAAGGTTGCAGGGTTGAAGTGTGCAGGCTGTTGATTTTACACAGATATTAATTTATTTATCTCAATATTTTTTTCCTTAATGCTTTTTTCCACCCCTGTAACTCATCAGGCTTTTGAATCCATTCCAACAGAGTGGGAAACAACAAGCAACTCATAGCATAGTGATACACGAACCAAAAAAAGTGGGTGGCG